ACAGAAATATTCTCAGCAGAAGAAACGGCTAAGCGAATTATGTCATATTTATCTAATGACATATTTTGGGGACACCCAAACGAAAGAGCTCCTGTCCCCCGGCTTAATTGGCCCAGCCCTGACCACTGAGGTCATGAGCGGAGTGAAACAGCATATGGCGGGTCGTTGCCCTTTCACTTTCACTCTATTCCACCTTTTCTTCCTTGGTCTTAGAAATAAAAAAAATAGGGCCTTGTGGTGTGACCTAGTGGCTAAAGTCCTCGCCTTGAACGCACTGGGATCCCATACGGCCGCTGGTTCCAATCCCGGCGGTTCCACTTCCCATCCAGCTCCCTGCTTGTGGCTTGGGAAAACAGTAGAGGATGGCCCAATGCTTTGGAACCCTGCACCCGTGTGGGAGACACGGAAGAGGTTCCTGGTTCCCGGCTTTGGATCAGTGCAGTACCGGCCATTGTGCTCACTTGGGGAATGAATCATCGGACAGAAGATCTTCCTCTCTGTCTCTCCTCCTCTCTGTATATCTGACTTTGTAATAAAAATAAATAAATCCTTAATAAATAAATAAATAAATAATTCTTTGAAAAAATAGCGACTATTTTAAGGAGTTCTTTATGCATCAATGTAGAAGGACATTCAAAATGCATTTTTAAAAAGTAAAAAGCTGAGAGAATAAAGGATATTTCTGTGAACAAATCCATCTCAGTATATTAACAAACATATTATACACATAACTTTTGCTTAACTTTATGGACATCTGTGTTGATGTGCATTAAATCACAGAGGTTTGTTGCTTTTCTGCTTGAAAAAATTCAAACAAAATCTTTAAAGCGGAATACAGCACTTTCCAAATGCCTTCTTCCTTTAGCTGAAATTCTATCAGCCATTCTTCATTTCTGCAGGAAGTGACCCTGTATTCTATTCCTAATGTTATTCTATTCCTAATGTTATTCTCCTTTTCTTTAAAAAAATATTTGAGTTCAGAGGAGCACACACACACACACACACACACACACACAGCAGAACAAAGCAACACAGCAGAACAAAGCAACACAGCTTTGTAGAACTTTTTCCAGTGATCTGTTTGTTTACTCATGAATGTACAATTCGTATATACCCTACATCTCATTTATTTAACTTACTTTTGCTTACCCAACAGCATGTCCTAAGCTTCTTCTCATGGCAATACATTTTAATTTTGCTGCACCATTTTTAATGGGCACCCGATATTTCCTTGTGTCTTCCTACCACCAGATTTGATTTCCCAGGAATCCATTTTCAGATACTTAGTTGCTTCCAGATGTTGGCCCTGATAAACGATGCCACGCTGACGTTTCTGCCGGGACTAGCGAGCCTTGGCAGAAGCTTCTGGCACAGGCTGCTCCTGTTTAAGAACACACAGTCATTTTCACTGGGAAACAGTCTGTCCACCAATCCATGTCTCCGGAACAATGAGCCACTTTGCATCTGCTAACGGTGCAGAGGGTACCCTTGTTACCACAATCTTCCTAACGTTATATTCTATCCATCTTTAAAAACAGTCACATCGACTCATTCTACATCCTAGGTGGTTGTTAGCACCTTAACAAAGGTTCCTTTCACAGCAGCACGAGCACTGATCAGCACTCCTCTATATCATGTAACAATATTTCTCTGAATGAATGGACTTCATCATAATTTCCTTCGTGAGGCACTTAATGAAAATCTGTGGGAGATTTCAATTTTGCTTCTCACACAAATTTCTCCTAAGGGCGTCATTCAGGAGGAGCCACGCCAGGCCACGCCAACAAGCAGCCGATCTAACCATGAGCGCTTCCTTGCCTCAGTCCGGCGAGTAGCCCATGACCGAGAGAATGGATTTACTGCTCAATTTTGGACAAAGTTAAGAGAAGAAAGGGGAAAAAAAAATCCTCCCTACAAAGTCAACAACAATAATAAATCTGAATTGCGTCAACTCAGTATTCAGTATACATAAACTCCAATTTATTTCCTCTTGGCTCAGACCAAACAACTCTACTCAATTTTGAATTTATCCAGGGCAGGGGAACATCATTTATTTTGTTTTCATTAATTCAGAGTTTGTGAACTTTTGGATATGGCCCAGGTGCAAAACAACCTTTGCTTGGGAAGGCTTTTCATAAGGGGAGAGAAAAGCAGCGCAAACATGACTGGGGCAACAGGCAAAGGGCACTAAGGGAACAATCTGTGTTTGAAAACTCTGAAAGTTCATAGTAAACATTCAAATGTTAAGTAAGCAGCTTCATCTGGCCAGCAAACAGTATGTTCTCAAGACTTTTAGAAACTATTTCCTGAGCGTAATGTAGTACTACATGTTGAGTTATTTACTATTCCTGCTGCCAAGTTTTAAAAGTCACGTGTTTTTAAACAAATATGTTGCTAATCCTATAGTTTTTTTCTGTTTTCACAAATGAATGCAACGTTATCATATTACTATGATTCATGTGGCGAAATACCACAGTAGCTCAGTATATGCTGGCTAACTAATACTAATTAAATTCTCATGGATTTCTCGACAAGATTTTCTTAGATTTACTACAGCGTGTCATAATCTATTGACTGTCAGCTAGTTGTCCAAGGTTGAACTGAAATTCAGAGATGTGAACCTATAGAAATGTAATGTGTGTGTGTGTGTGTTCACATACAGGAAGGATTAAAAATGTTTACTTATTTTCTCTCTTCTTTTTCTACATATTGCTATTTGGCTTTTTCTTTTTTTAAGATTTATTTATTTTATTGAAAAGGCAGATGTACAGAGAGGAGAGACAGAGAGGAAGATTTTCCATCCAGTGTTTCATTCCCCAAATGCTGCAACAGCCAGAGCTGAGCCAATCCGAAGCCAGGAACCAGGAACTTCTTCCAGGTCTCCCACATGGGTGCAGGGTCCCAAGGCTTTGGACTGCTTTCCCAGGCCACAAGCAGGGAGCTGGATGGGAAGCGGAACTGCTGGGATTAGAACCGGCACCCATATGGGATCCCAGTGCGTTCAAGGCAAGGACCTTAACCATTACACTATTGTGCCAGGCCCTGTGGCTATTTATTTGAAAGGGCTAGTGACAAAGGCATCTTTCACTCAATGGCCCAAAATTTCCTCAATAGCCAGGGCTGGACCAGGCTGAAGCCTGGAGCCAGGAATTCCATGCACATCTCCCCCATGTTGTGTAAGCACTCATGTCATTAGGCCATTTGCCACTGCGTTCTAGGCACATTAACGGAGCTCATCTGAAAACACAGAGATCAGAAGCTGAGATTTTAACTGGTTCTCCCATGTAGGTATCCCAAGGCATGTATTGGATGTGCTGTAGTGTCCTCCCCCCTTTTATTTTCTCTAGAATTTTATCTGAAACATAATTCTGCTTTGTATTTTTTTTTTAATTTATATAATTACTCTACGTGAGAAGAAGGGAAGGACAGTTGGGGTGGGGAGGTGGGGACAGAGAAAGCTCCCATTGGTTAATTCATTCATCAAACTGGAATAGCTGCACTAAGTGAGAGCCAGTCAAGGGCTGGGGATTCAGTGTGGTTCTCCCTGTATGTGCCACATGGTGAAGCACTTGGGCCATCATGGGCTGCCGCCACAGATGCACATTAACAGGAAACTTGAATTGGGATTTCAAAACTAGGTATTCCAACATAGGATGTATACAGCTCAACTGAGATTTTTACCGCTGGGCTGAATGCTCACCATGTCTTTAATCATTTTAGCTGGGAACCTTTGATAAATAACATTTCTGATTTTATGTTTGTATACAAGTAAGTGCCGTTGAATATCCCTAAAACTATATTTTTAAGGTGAATAATCTCTATTCTGATACTGGGGAATCAGTGAACAAAGACTGTAATACATTCTATTGTGAATACATAGGTTTTCCTTGATTTTATTATTTCTTAGTTTTAAATCCTCAGGTAATTTGTCTGAAGTGAACCTCCTCATCCCAACGGGAGATGAGTTAGAAGAAGACTTTCATCACTGGAGCATAACTTTCTTCTCTCGAAGGCGTTTGTACCAGTCAAGGTCATGTTCAAAGGTGGAGGATGACTATAGAGCAGAAGGCAGTCTAATGGAGGAAAAGGGAAATCTTTGCGGATCTATCCGGAACCAGGACATTGTAATGGCATCATTATTACCACTGGCAAAACAGCAACAATATCAGAGAAATTCCAACTTACTAGAATCTAACTTGGACTAGGAAACAAGTTACTTGCTTTTACTGACTTTTTAGAGTTTTAAAATCAATTTGTGATACAAAACAGAGCAAGCCATGTGTTCATAATACTATTGCCATTTTACAGTTGCATGAACTACAGTTCATATTTTGCATGATGTGCCCATGAGAGATACACAAGAAGGAGGCAAACCAAGTGACCTGGAGTGTTAGCCAAGGTCCGCACCATGGCTGCTAGGACAGGGGTCTTCCAGGTGTGGGAGACTGAGGCTGTGGAAACACTGGGTGTTTGTTCAGAGCAGCACTGGTACACATCTGTAATATTCCGAGTCTGTAGAATATATATATATATATACATATATATATATTAATGCATCTGTTCTTTATACATTAGTTCTGCATTGGAACAACTCTGGGTCTCAGAGAACATGGTTATGATCCTGATCACATGGTCTTCACGTGAAGAAACTTTTACTGGAAATGTTTTCAAGTGAGAGAATTTACTAACTACTCGATTTGAGTGGTCACACCGAAGGGTGATGTGTAGTGAGATTCAGTCATCTTCCCCCAACTGTCTGTCACCACCCATCCACGCAGGTGATCTTCCAGCCTTCACATCCTCCAAAAGCCCCCAGAAGTAAGAGCAGTGTTTTGGTACTTATTCATAATTTCAATTCAAATCTCCTTGAAAATAACTGCCCACCCGAGCTTTGTCCAAGGTTCTCTTTCTGTAGCGTGCTGTTCCTTTCCTGTGCTCATAAAATAATGATTATGAAGTGCCTTCCTACATAGAGAAACTGTACATACAGGTTATATATATATACTTAAGGCATTTTTTTTTACCTTGTGTGGATGCTCTGTCTCTGCCCCACTGGCTGTAGGGGAGCCCCAAATATGAGATCAGACTCTCCAAGCAGTTTGGATCCATCCGAGCCCTGAGACAGGGCATGTCCCACTGTGTTTAGAGAGCTGCTTTTTTTGTTTCAGAGATCTGGGGTTCTCTAAATCACTCCATCTGCCACCCAGACCTGTCTCACCCCTTACATTTCATTGTCTTCTTTACAATTTAATTTTACAGTTTAAAACCATGAGCTTTTCAAAAGCAAAGCCTAGAAAAATACAAGAGAAACACGTTTTAGGAAGATGAATAGTCATCATTAAGCAAGCAAAGTTAATATAAGAAATAAATGTGGTCACAGCTACAAGGAATTGAGCTTCATTAAACTGGATAAATACTGAGCAAATACTGAAGGCAGATTTCTTGAAATCTTTGAGTTTATAATTTAAGGGTGAGGGAATTTCCCCTGAATTTGCTTAATGACCTTAGCCAGTAAACACTGATAAAAGTGTTCTAATTTCTGGAGTTTGTTGGGGCTTTGGTAAGACTGCATTTACGCTAATGTACTCTAAAATTAAGAGTAACTTCTTATGTACAACTCCACAGAGTACATATTAGGATAGAATTCAGAAAAATAATATGGATCCTGAAATAAGATTGGTCTTAGATCTCTCTTGATTAATTTAAACACACACTGTTTAGAATCACAAGATCTCAAGGCTAGAGCCATCTTGTAATGTATATAGCCCAGTCATCTATGCAGTTCTTAAATATCCCAGCTCTCATCAGCAGACCGCCCAGCCCTACCTGAACACTGCCAAAGTACTTCCCAACAAGCCAGTGTCGGTAAGGCAACTGTTAGAGAATCTCTATAACTTTCTGTTTAAGTTAGGGGGTGAGGTACAGAGAGAGAGAGAGAGAGAGAGAGAGAGGAAGGAGGACATGTATCCGCTGGATCCTCTCCTGGTGTCCCGAGGCCAAAGCCAGGAGCTCTATCCAGATCTGCTGAGGCGTGACTAGCTGCCTTTCAGGAGATGCATCACTCCGAAGCTGGAACCAAAGAGCGGAGCTGGGACTTGAACCCCGGAGCTTCCCAATCAGGAGTTAACTGTCACGCTAACCACCACTCCCCTCTCTCACTTCTATTGTCATTTCTTCAGTTCATAGGAAATAAGTCGCAGAGGGTATTGGTTCCTTTCACCCTGCTTAATGCCATTCACTGAGGGGATTTTGATCAGAAGAGTGGCAGTTGGGGCAATTCTACATTTTCAGCAGAAACTGCCACTTTTCATTCGGCAGTCTCGCTGGTCACGAAAACGAAAGTGTCACTGGGTTTTGAAGGTGAGTGTACGGGCCTGGAGTCTACAAGCTATGCAGAGGCCAGGGACAGTGAATGATGGCAGTAAGGATTTTCCAGGGGATCTTCTCAGTAAATCTGAGTATTATTTTTTTTAAAAAAGTTAGATTCTCAATGATTTTGTCCATTAATGTAAAAGAGAGTTGCCTACTTAAAATAGCATACTTTCTGTGCAGAAATTGAAGCTCAGTTTCAAAAATTCCCTTAATGAATAAGTCAACAAACACCAATATCAGTGTTAGGCACTGCTGTGAAACTTCATAAATTGTTATTTTTTTTTAAATTTACAATTTCTTTTTAACTTTTTTTTTCATTTAGCTACTCTTATTCTTTCTTAACCATTTGTGTATGTTTAAAAAATAAAGGTTTACTTTATATGTTTGAAAGGTAGTTATAGAAATAGAGAGCTATGGAGAAAAAGGGAGAGGAGAGAGAAAGAGAGGGAGAAAGAGATCTTTCACTGGTTGGTCCACTCTCCAAATGGCCACACAGCCTGGGCTGGACCAAGCTGAAGCCATACCAAGGGCGTCATCTGCATCTCCTACATGAGATCAAAATCCTACAGACTTGGGCCATCTTTCACCACTTTCCCAGGCACATTAGCAGGGAGCTAGCTAGATTGGAGGGAGATCAGCCAGGACTCAGAGCACCCATTTAACAACAGCCCGGAAAGAGTTTTTTTAAAGAGCAATTTCAAACTTACAAGTAATTTGTGGGGAGGAAGACGTATGTATGTATGTATGTAGCGTCCTCATCCCCCAGTAGAGCTGAGTATCTGATCAGGGCATAGCCCCTGGCTGGTTGCCAGCTTTCTTCCCGTTTTGTCCTCACATGGTGGAGAAGAGCAAGAGGAAGCAGGTTCTCTATTTCGTCTTCTCAGAACACTGTCCCATTACCAGGGCTCCAAAAGTCCCATCTCCAAACACCATCATGCTGAGGACCAGCGCTTCAACACACACATTGTAGGGAGTACAAATATGTACAAATTAAGACTAGTAACGATGTCATTTTTAGGGCTCTGATTTGAAAGCAATAGGCTCAGTTTTTTCAGTCTCCGAATGACAATCAATCAAGATGTGGTTGAAGGTATACCACTCTATTCTCTATCGGAACCAAGTTTTGTTTTTTTTTCTGCATCAAGACTTAACACTAGAAACAAACAGAATATTGAGCCTCATATATAACCGGCTATGTTTGATTTGTGCATGCTATCTCATTTCCTTGAAGAAGGTGTTGTAAACTAAAATACTTAAAATTGAGAATATTGTTTAGTGTTGGTTTATAATCAGCTGCTTCACAATGAAAAGCACTTGATCATCAGGACAAGTGGGAAAGAAGAGTATCAAACAAGTATTCCTTCAACCAAGCTTTGAGTCCGGTATTGTAGGGTCAGATGTTGAAACACTTCTATGAAATAGCACTGAGTTGTTTAACCAAGCTGAAGACTTTCAAGAATTTCTTTGTTTCATGTTCTTATTCCTAACATCCTAATGTGGTAGTTTGTTTAGTGCATCTGTCTTATTCAAGATATATGATATGAGAAAGGCAAATATGATAGCTGATTAAACTCACTTGCTGTTTAACTAGGCCAAATTATCTGATCAAATTTTCCTTTTGCTTCGGGGTGATCTTTGGGGAAATTTATGGAGGCAGATATTTCATTGTATTAAAGTTAAGGAGGCACAGTTGATTTTCTTGTGTATCTCAATATGATATTAAGTCTCACAAATTTATATAACTCCCAATACTAAATGTAGATAGTGATATTTAAACTCTTAAAATTTTGTTCTTTCAGTGGTTATAAAGTGAACTAGCTTTGCTGACAAAAATAAATCAAAAGCCACATGAAAAGGTTAAACACAATGTCCATTAGGCTGCAGGTTTCAGATTCCAGGTTTGAATCCTGCCTGGACAGACAGGAAAGACATTCAATAGCTGGCTTAATGCTGTGAGGAGAACATTGATTCTGTTGAAAGCGATGAGAAACTGGAGAGTGTGAAATGGACTTTATAATCTGAGAGATCACTGAAAATAAAAGATAAAAATATGACATTTGAATAATGCCATTCAGCTGGAGAATGGCTATCCAGTGATTTTTCTGAAAGCACAGGTATCGATAAATCAATAGATGATGAAAATTAAGTTTGCTTGACTTGTTCCTTTCTAATGAACAGCTAAAATATAGCAAATGTAGATTGTCGATGCTGATGTTGAACTCCAGAAAATTCTTTCTTTACACTTAGTAACTGCATGGAGTTGTTTCTTTCTTTCTTTTTTTTTTTTTTTTTTTGCAGGAAGATTTATAAAGCTCCTCTCTATACAACTTGCTGGTATCTAAACTGATGTACACCCTTGACAGTATAGGCAAAATGTCAAAAATTATGAGTTATTACAATATGAGAATGTATTTCTTTTGGTTTCCAAGGAAAGTGGTTATATTTTCACAAAAAAGCCACGCGTGCATAAATCAATTCTGAATGAGAGCTCCATCTTTGCCTTACCAACTTCACTTTTGTTCCAAACTGTTTAGGTATAAGCATTCTTCGGAAAGTTCATAGAAGATGTGTGTTTTGAAAAAGCTATGCCTGGGTTTCTATTTGTGGCAGCAAATTGTTCATTTTAGTTTTTCCAAGCGATGTATTAATACATTAGTTTCTCAGGGTGTTTCCCAAATACATGACAGCTAATACAACACAGTTCTTATCAGTTCTCAAGCGAATGTGGCAGAAATATTGAGAGGGTGTATTCAGTGAGGGCCAGAGATACAAAAGACTGCAATGATATTCCCCTTTCTCCCTCTGCCTCTATCTTTGATTTTTGACATAGCATATTTTTAATTTACATTAGTGTCAAAGGATTATTGCCTCACTAAATAGTCAGCAAGTAAAAAGAGCCTAGCCCAGCAGGAATGTGGGCAAGGGTTAACAGTAATTACAAAACGAACAGATGACTCCGGTCACATATTACAGTGAATTATAAGTTAACCACATATCATTAAAACTACAGTCGTATTTCATTCTTAATCATTGGTTTTATAGATATAAAACTACATTTAAAAATAACAATTTTTTTGTTATAATACTGCCTGTGTGGTTTTTTTTTTTAGCATCAAAGTAAGTTTATCTTTTCATTCCATTTTTCATGAACTTTTAGAAGTCCTTGAGACTTCAAAGTTAGCCCTAGATATCTCTCAAGGTTCTTGGGTTATGTGTTGTTTTTATGACTTTCAAAGACTACTCTATATGCAAAAAGCATCAACTACATATAGAGGGAGACTGTCTCATTGCAATGCACTAGAAAGATGTGAGCTAGAAAGAAGAACTAAATACTGTAAATTTTTGTTCTGTGGACAAAAGCCCCACCCCCATGTTGGACAGACATACAAGCACCTTCTATACGTTACATGATGGGGGCTGCTATGCTGTTCAGCAGAGCGCACAAGTAATACTTCTAATCTAAGTACAGCCAACTACACTCGTTCCAAACCCTGTTCAAGTCTATGTTAATGCAGTATTTGTATTTGTGTATTTCCACCATGGAGACTTATTAAGTATGTGTATGCAAGGGGGTAGATATTTTTCAAAGAAACAAGTCAATATGTAGAAAGACTGGATAAAATTGAGCTATTTGGAAAACGCAACTAAATTACTTGTGAGTCGGCCAACTGTAACGTTTGGCAAAAATACATTTAAATATAGAAGGATTCTTAATTTATATTGCTTTGCTGGATGTCTTTAACTTTTGGCTCAGAATTAAAGAAACAGTAGTAGAAATTTTAAGTTCTGATCCATACATTTTGGGTATGCTTTTGTAAGAAAGATAACCTGGAACTCCAGTACTCAAAAAGTAAGCATTAAAAAAAAATTAAATCAATGCTTTTCAATCTAGAGGATGGCAAGTAAAAATACATATCAGTGAAAATTAAATTCTGAGAAATTTAGTTTCTTTTTCATGATTTTTTTGCTTGTTTGTTTTGCATTAGTTGACAAATTCAGAGTACCTGATAGGCTCTAAGAGGCTTATCTTTCTCTGATTCAAAATTAGGCAAACATTTTTGGAAATTTATTTGGGTTAGAGAGATAGTGTTTCCATGCATTTGTTTGCTTTCCAAAAGCCTGTAGCTGTTTGGCTTGGGCTTCGGTGTGAGGTTGGGGGTTTGGAATACAATCCTGGTCTCTTACGTAGGCGATGGGAGCCCAATTACTTGTGTCATTAATACTGCCTCCCAGAGTCTATGCTGGTGGAATATCTGGGGCCAGGAGCTGAAGCCAGAGCCGAAAATCAAACTCAGGTACTGCAATGGAGGAAGTGGGTGTCTTCACAGCTAAGCCAAAAGTCTGCTCCTCACATTTTAAAAAATGTAATATTTCCATCTGGTTCTTTTCACATTTTATTAGATCTGCTCTAGATTCCAATATTCTTCTCTGTTTAAGAATATCAATTACTCCAATTTTAAATTTTCTGTCAGTTCCAGTGATGATTTCACTTCATGGGATCTGTGTTCAGTGTTTGGTTTTTTAATGGAGGCTGTATTGGGCATCTTACTATTTTGGCTCATGAGGTCGTGTT